AGGGAGTTTACGATTGTGTTTGAGAGGATATTACCGCCTCCGCCGTCGGCGAGGACGATACCGGATCCGGAGCTGGAAGAGCCGATTTCAGCGGCGGCGAAGAGGGCGAGGGCGGATAGTAATGGGGGGTTGAAGGCGCCTGTGACGAATGGGATTCCGGAGAATGTGCTGACGGAGGACGACGAGGAGGTTATGAGGACTTCGTTGGAGACGGCGGTGACGACGGCGATTGATTTGTTCCAGAATGTGGATAAGCAGCAGCTGTCGCTTCTGGGGGCGACGACGGATCTGACGGGGCCGGTGGTGGAGAGGTTGATTGAGAGGTATATCACGGAGAATGTGCATCATCTGCTGTTTCCGAGGATTGCCGGGTTGAGGAGGCAGGATGATTTGGAGCTGGAGGCGAAGATAAGGCAGATGAACAATATTGATATCTCGCAGTTGGGGATTGCGATAGATGGGGGGATGAGGGCGAAGAGGGAGGTGGTGAACAGGTTGGGGAATGCGGTGGAGGAGTTTAGAAAGATGCCGAATGCGAGTTGTCCGCAAGAGATGATGGAGATTTTGCTGGCGACGACGAAGGCGGCGACGCAATTCAGTGAGGGGTCGAATGTGCAGGGTCAACCACGGTCTGCGACGGAGAAGCCGGCTATGACGATAAATGCGGATACGCTGGTGTCGCTGTTGCTCTATGTGGTGATCAAGGCGCAGATCAAGCACCTCCAGGCAAGGTTGACGTATATAAGGCATTTTGTCTTCATTGATGATGTCGAGAGCGGTGAGATGGGGTATGCGCTCAGCACCTTTGAGGCTGTGTTATCATATCTCGACCGCGAGTCCGGCGGGCTGCGGAGAGCCAGTCGTAGGAATAAGGCGTTGTGGGATGCGGTGTCAAAGGGCGATATGACGGAACTCAGAAAGATTTTGGAACCGACCGAGGATGCGATCGAAGATGAGGACGATTATGGGTCTTCGCACTACCGAAGACGGTCGTCCAGCGGTTGGAGCTTTACAAATGGGGCTTCGTCAACGACGTTGGCAGCTTCGGACAGGTTCTCGGTCGGGTCTGGGCTCAGTCATGTGTTTCCGTTCCAAAACGGATCAACTGAAACTCTTGAACAGCCAGTGCCAAAACGTATCAAGAAAGTGTCGATGGACACTAGGAGCATGTCCAGCGGTTCGGAAATTTCGTTTCGATCGCTGCCCATGAGTATTGGCACCTTTACTAGTGGGATCGAAGGTGATACTTCCATTGAGCGTTTGGTTCAGACGCAGGATGCGAAAGGGGAGTCGGTTCTCATGATGGCGATTCAGCATGGTCAACCGCAGGTGTTGAAGTACTTGTTATCGTTCCGGCAGTACTACACGGCGCCGATCATCCTGGAGGACCAAAACAACGAAGAGACGACTCTCTTCAGCGCGGCCGTACAGCTGGGCAATGTGGAGGTCATCAATGGAATTCTTGACTACATTCTCGACTCTACCGGGGACGACAACAAAATCAAGGAGTATCTTGCTCGTCAAGACACTTGGGGCCGGAGCGCGGCACACTACTTGTTCCATGCGCCATTTCTAATCGGTCGAATCGGCAGGTTACTACCCTGGCGACAAAAGGACAAGAACGGACAGACGCCATTGTTTGCCCTTTGCCGCTCTTACGATAACCCAAATTACTACACAATGGTCGAGGAAGGGCTGGAGATAGCTACTAAGTGTCAAGGAGACGGCCAACCTCTTCACATAGACGACCACGTTGACCACAAGGGGAACACCCTCCTGCATATTGTCAACGAGCCAAACTTGGCGCTGAAGATCCTCCAGCGTTGTGATTTGGATGTCAACGCCACCAACGAAAAGAGATTCACAGCCTTGATGTTGGCGAGTAAATACGGCCGTTTCGACATGGTCCGGACACTATTCGGTGACCCACGAGTCGACATTGCCGCGAGAGAACTACGCGGCCTGACAGCGGTCGAGCTAGCCAAAGACGACGAGCTGCGCAATAAGATTGACGATCTTGTGCTGTTCTCCCTGTCACAAGGCAGCTCCGACTCGCGCACCACAGGTGTTGTCAGATCATTCTTTGTCGAAGACGGCACAATCCGCTTCGTGCTCAAGTCCGGGGCCCCCGTCGACGAGCATAGCTATGCCGTGACGACCTGTCGGCGGTCCCTAGCCGACTTTGAGCACCTGGCCAAGCTGCTGCAAATGGAGAACCCGGCATCGTGGATACCATCCCTCGCGGATTTGAGGTCTCCAACGCAGATCCCATCGAGGCCCAGCAGGGCGGTGTTGAAGGATTTGCAAATCAGAATGGACTGGTTTCTGAAGGTGCTGCTGGTCCACCCTACTTTTGCGACGCACGAGATGCTTTGGGAGTTTTTTCTTGTGCCAGACTTGCAGCTGGATCAGATGGCGGAGAGGTCGAAACTGAAGGCTGATGCGTTGTTGGAAAAGGTGCACGAAGAGCTGGAGCCAGTGGAGGACCTGAAGGAGGTGGAGCAGTTTGTTGATCACGCGAGGGATATTGTGAGGAGCGTGCACTTTTCGACGAGGAGCGTGGCGAGGAGGGCGAATAATATTGGGAATGTGGTTAATGGTTTGTTTTCCCTCCCCTTATTCATACCTAACTGTCAGCGACTAACATCAATGTGTAAGACCTATACGAAGCCTCCACCCTCCTCTCCAAAGCCCTGTCCACCCTCCCGTTTTTACCACCAAACTACATCTCCGGCTTCGAGACCTACGTCCGCTCGCTGGCGCCCTCCCAATCATCCCCCATATCACAATTCTTCTCTGCGTTTTTGGCGCTGTATAGTAACATTGAAGCTATTCTCAAAGCGCTCGGTCGACCACCGCAGACGATTGCCAAGATTATCGCGATAAGGAAGGAGGTGGAGAGGAATTACAACACGTTGAATAGGTCTAGTAGGTGGCCGCTGGGGTTGCTAGATGAGACGAGACAGAGGATGAATGAGGACCGGGAGGAGAAAGCGAGGAAGATGGAGCAGGAGGCGGAGATGCTGGGGAGGGAGCTGAGGTATACGCAGCAGACGGTGGCTGGGGAGCTGGCGGGGTGGAGGGAGATGCATGAGAGGTTGGGGAGGAGGGCGATTAGGGATTTGGCGAGGGGGATGGTGGTGCAGGAGAGGGGGCGGTTGGAGGGGGTGAGGCGGGCGCTGAGGAGGGTGAGGGAGGGGAGTGGGATTGTGCTGGTGAGGCCGAGGATGGGGGTGGGGTTGGTTGGGAGTGAGTTACTTGATGGGGATGGGGGGACGGGGGCGAGCGGGAGCGGGAGCGGGAGCGGGAGTGGGAGTGGGAGCGGGAGTGGGAGTGGGAGTGGGAGTGTGTCAGCGGAGTAAGACAAGGGGGGGGAGGTTGTATAGAAACGACGGAAGAAAGGCGGGGGGGGGGGAGGTTAGAAACCTGAAGCGGGTGTTTTTGTAATGAGCATTGTTCCTGTTCTCAAGGGATGGATGGGTTAGGATACATAGGTAGGGATTAAAGGATGGGAATACCCAACAATTCTTTCCTCTTTTTTCTTTTTTTTTTTTTTTTTTTTTTTGGCTAGGCGAGTAAGCTGGGTATTGTACAGACACAGAGAGAACAGTGGTTGTATTGATAGGAAAGACAGGGTTATTGAACGCATTGTGTTGATTCAGGCAGATATGGTCGGTCCTATGTGGATGCTCGCGTGACGAGGTCCGTTCAATTGCTTTTTTTTTCTTTGGGCTCTTGAAGACTGTTCAAAGCAAAGGTATAGTATAGTAAGGGTTACTACCATCCCGTAGTTAAGACTGTCATCATCAGAGGTTTATCTACGGGAGAGCTACCCACCTACCAAAGAGGAGGATATTACTGAACCTTTTCTATCTCAACTTGAATTAATCCCATTGCTTTCTTTGCAGTGTTGATTTCGCCGCGCCAGCAAGCCATAATTACCTGTCCACAATGAACTGCTTGCACCTCTGGAAAAATTTGCTGAGAGTATCTAGCCTCAACCTCGTCGTCGGGAAGGTCATGGTAGGGTTGCCTGCCGGTCATTATCTCGTAAATGGTAGAACCTAGGGCAAAAAGATCGGTCCTGACGGTTGACTCGTCATCCCACGACCGTGGCAGACAGAACCTAGTGCCCTCGAAAGCAGACCCTAATATCCCATCGAAAGATGAGCCCGAAAAATCGATTATTTTGAGCCGGTAAGCCGAATCGAGCAAGAAGTTTTCAGGCTTAACATCACAGTGGATAATGCCGTAAGAATGGACGAGATGTAGGGCCTCGGCAGCGTCGTGAGTCCATTGCAACCGCTGGGATATGGTGATGCCCGCGACTGCAGTTTGGATATACTCGCGCAGGTTACCCCTCGGCATGTACTGGAGGAAAAGACCTTCTTCGGGAGAGTATTTGATCATCTGTAGCAAGCGATCATGCTGTCGCGGAAGTCTCTGGTAGATTCGAAACTCGCGTTCAAGGTCCCTGAGGCTTTGCTTCCGCGTCTGGATATCCGGGTAGGCGCATTTTCTCACGTTCCCACAGGGCATACGTTCTATCAGGCCGGTACTCCCACCAGATACTACATTCTATTCCTCGAATGTAGGCGGTTAGTAGAATAGTTTAAGCAACGGCCTCTAAGTTAGTTTAGGGATTTCAGCTTACTTTTCTGTCGATCATGCTCAAGGTAATAGGCGACAGTTAAAAAAAACAGTTATTTAAATGCGTTGGGTGATGGACTAAGATAAAGGAAAATCGCGGTGGACGCACTACGAAGAACTCTCACGATCAGATTGCAGTTTGATTGAAGCGATTAAGAAGGCCGAGGGGCACAGTAGGTCATAAGCCACTGGTCATGAGACCAAGCTCCAGCCACATTCGCGCATATTGTTTATTCCAGTTTTTGAAGAGTGTTGTCTTGGGACCCCCCGCCCCAGACAAATGTCGGTTGGTACCGGTCACAAAGAGCGGCGCTTAGGGCACGGGAGTTCCCATGAACCAGACACCGAATTTGCCCCAGCGGAACCGAACCCGCGCTTTCGTATCTCAGGATCGGCGTGCTGGACCACTACACCACAGAGCTGGTTGATAACAGAACACAGCGGTCCAACCCTTGTGATGCTCGAAAGGTCCAGTGGCTCCGAACCAGGGGTTTAAACCAAGAACCATTGAGGGTTACGAAGTAACGAACTTTCAAGGGTTGGAGCCCGAGGGCACCAATCATGCTTAACTTGTCACGACATTGCATCCCAGCAGCCATTTCTATCGACCGACCTGAGATTTATCTTCGCCATGATCTCCAAGTCACAGACTCACCTCCCTCGTCCAGAACAAGAACTGCTGGGTGCCTTCATAAGCACCGGCGCGGGTATGTCGACATTACTCTTGGAAGCAGGGAACCGTGTTGACACATTACCTACAGAGCCTCCATCGACCCACGGAGTGCAGAATCCAGCGCATAGGCTTCTCGCACCAGATCCCTTGCGGCCCAGGAAACGGCAGTTCGGCGGAATATCTGGCAATCCGTCACCCGTAAAGAGATTGCGGTTGACACACACGAGCAAGTATTCTGTCGTGACTACGAGATGGTAAAAATACTTATTTGTTAGGTGATTTGAGGCGCAGCGCGAGGATTCGAGAACGACAGTATTCTTTGGGCTCCCAACGTCCTATCCCTACCGCGCCGTCGATACCTTCCTGTGAGTCCCAAAAGGTGCGTGAGGAAGTAAAGCCCTCCCTTCCTGCGCCCACGGTCGAGGGGCAAGAGCAAGTCTCTCCGGATAACGAACACCAGCCAAAAAGAGCGCAGTTAACGCAGAAAAATTTGGCACTCTTTAACAAGATTCCCAGAAAGAAGCCGGCGTCGGCGACCGTTCCCTCCGAGTCCGCGACCGAGTCATCAAAGGCAGTATCCTCAACGTCACATGGCTTTGCCGACCAGGCCTATAAAAACGGCATCCTCGACGCACATTACTCTATACCGCCTACAAACATAGAGGATATCTGTGAGCGGCATGCTAGATCCCGTGCCACAGCTTCGCCCTCCGAGTTTGAGTACAGGCGTTACGCAAACAATGTAGCGATAGCCCCAAACGAATCGACTATGGTTGTGATTGGCTCACAACTACTGAAGCAGTATGATGACGATAAATACAACAAAGTATACAACCAATCGTTTACTGGCTTCCCCCAAGACGTTGGCTTCAACAATAGCCTGTCTGCTCCCCAACCCGACTTTACTGAGGGTCTGCAAAAGCATGAATACTCTCCATTTCCACTTACCGATGTTAACGGAGCTGTTCTCTATAAGGACGACCCTTTTTCCTTAGCACTGCCACACTTAGCGGGGGAATGGAAGGGACGTGGAAAGGATATGGAAGAAGCGAGGCTCCAGAGCAGCTATGTCGGAGCGGCCCTTGTCTATGCCAGGAACCAGGCCCTCTCCTACATCGGGGAACCTGATCCCCCAGGCCACGCCGAGGTTACAACTTTCGCCCTGGACGGTATTAACATCAACTTTTTTGCACACTATGCCGCACCTTCGAAGAACGGCAAGTTAGAATATCACCAGTATAAATACGCATCAGCAAACGTAAAGGACTCTTACCAAGGGCATAAGGATGGCCGAAGAGGGCTTAGAAACCAACAAGACCACGCCAGAAAACAGTCATACGTTCTAAGGGACCGGCTGAAGGAGCATTGGGAGCAGAGTAGCCTTCGTCCCGTTGCCGAAGATGCTTAGGTATGCGCGCATCTCAAAACTTTCAAGCCTTGTCGCCACCTACATGAGCTCAGGCAGTTCGAAGCTCCCCGGCCAGTTTTCCTCAACAACAGAGACTCAAAATGGCCGAGCGCAGAATCCGACCCGCTGCTTCTCTTCCAGCAGTCGATGATGCGTGTAAGCAGCCATCTGAGTTGAAGTGTGTGTGTGGGTGTGGGTGTTTTGAAGAGGTACTGTATTCCACAGAAAGAAAGAAAAGTGCATGCTAATCCAAAAGAGTACCTAGATATATCTATCCAGTGTAGCAGGACGAAAGAACTCCCTACCTACCTACAAAAGGAAAAGGACTTTTCTTCTCTCTCTCTCTCTTTAACTCAACCCGACAACTAAAAGTCCCTCGCGCGCACCTCAATATTGATCGTACTGTTGTTGTTGTTGTTTTTGTTCCCAGCACCAAAACTCTCCATCCCCACCCCCGTCGTATCCCCATACGTGTGAAGCAAGCTAAAGAACTTTGTCTCCTTCGCCTCCTTGTGCGTAAAATCCAAGAGGTGAATGTGCGACTCCACCTCCAAGTGCTCCTGGCAGTTATCGCACCCGTCGACGTTCCATCTGCTCAGCACGGGTTGCACCTTGAGGAGCCTGTCGGGGGTGTTGTCATCTCCTCTGGCCCAGGTTGTGACGAGGAAGGAGCCGGAGATGTTCTTGCGGTTGATGCCCGTGACGGCGAGCTTGGGGGCGTCGAGGTTGGGTGCCAGGAAGGAGATCTCGGGCACGGGGGGGTAGCTGTAGCCGAGGTTGGAGACGTCGACGAGGTCCTGGGTGGTGTTAGAGGGAGTACAGAATTGAGAGGGGGGGAGGGGGAACTTGCCTTGCCCTGGACAAATCTGTCCTGGCCGTTGATTTCCTTGGCGTTGAACGGAGCGAGGTCGGTCTCAAGACTACGGCCGCCAACGCCCGCGAGCGATGAATCGATGGGTAGATCCTTGGTTTGGTGGTTGAGGACCTGCCATTTCCAGAAGGTGTAGTCGATGAAGCAATGGTGGAAGTAGAAGACGGGGTCGAAGGCAGCCGTTTCGTTGTCGCCCATGTCGCCGTTGGCGAAGGCGTAGGCTGAATAGTCTCCCTGACCCGGAATGTTGAAACCGCCAATGGCAAGGTGAAGCGCGTTGTGTGGCTCCTCGAGCGAGACAACGACAGGTATATGAGGAGAACCATGCTTTTTGTTCCAATCAGCCGCGGACGTGGTGTTGGAGAAAACTGTGTAGTTCGGAGCGTTAAGGGACTCCTTGAACTTGTGGATCTCGCCAGCTGGGTGTTCGTCGCCGTTGGAGCCCCTATAGATCTCCTTTGTGAGCCAGGTGATGACATTGTCGTTGAGCAGCTGGGTGATCTCGGCCTCTGGTTTGGATGCAACTTCGGCGTTGTGGGCTTCGGTCTGGGAGCTGAACTTGCCGCTCACGAGGCCAGACCAAGGATAGCGCACTGTCTGGTACCCCACGGGTTTGGTGTAGAGATTGTCATCATCCGAATCGGAGACTTCAATTTGAAGCTTGTACGAGAACAGCGGGTTGGGCACAGAGCCAGAGCCATCACTCCACTCATACGTCTTGCTTGTGAAGATGGAGGGGAGGCCACCCTTGGCGGAGGCGTCGGAAGTCTCGTTCCAAAAGGGCATAGCAAAGGTGTCGTCTTTCAGCACCTTCCGAAGAGCACGCTCGAGGCGCAGGATATAGGCGCGGTGCCAGAGCGGGAAAAGCACGTTACCATGCTGGCAATACCAGGCGGGGAGACCGTGGTAGGTAGCAATTTGGGAAAATGAATCCGGGTCATCAGGCCCAAGGGCCATGATTCCTTGGAATCCGCGAACCAGGCGGTCCAGCTCTTGGCCGGAAAGCTTGGTGACATCTTGTCGCATGGCCATAGTTGCTTGAAGGGTTGGGTTGCCCTCGGGGGGTGTGCAAACAAGACGTATGAGGGATGTTGGAAAGATGAGGTCAAAGAGTTTGAAGGTTGTGAACTCGGATACTCATGAAAGCCTGTGGAAAGAGGTCTGGGGGAAAGGGCTTGAACTCATATCTATACTCCGAGCGACTATGTAGAGACGCAAGTATCTTCATGACTTCCCTTCCCCCCCTGACGAGCCATTGCCGCAGCTCAGCTCTCAACTGTAGACAAGACTATTCCCAGACTGAGTTCTCTGCATCACGGGCAGACATCAGCTCAACTGACACACGCCACACTTTTTCCACCTCGGCCAGTCGTGTTCGAGTTTCCAACCTAGGTTGAAAAGTCTAGAACATTTTCACCCGATAGTTGATGTAAGAGAAAAGCCATTCTGTGTTGTTTTGCAGCATGGTTTCGCCACAGGACAATATTCGAGAATGCAAGTCCGATGTCAAAGGGCAATCGCTGAAAATGGTTTACTGCGTGACTAGAGGCGAGCTGACATGTGTGAGGTAGAAGCCTACTAGCAGTAACTAGTATCAACTAGGGCTGGCTTCATGGTCTAGACTTTGGATGTATGTGTCCGGGCCGCAGTGCATTTGCGAGAGACTGCATACAATTGTCGTCTTGGCGTCGCAGCAGACTAGAAGAGGTTAGGTTGCCCGGAGATGGGGCAGCTGAAACAGCATTGCTATCACATCTATGGCCCTCAGTCAGCCAGCTACCGAAGACCTGCATACATTGATCAGAGTACACAGGCAGAGGTGATGGCAACATCCCATGCTGCGTAGCCGCCAATATGCTGACTTCCGTAAAGGTCTGGTACGGTGGAATGTGAACTCTCCCCTAGCTAACCCAGGCCCAAGAGGCTTATCCCCGGGAGAGCCTTTCACCCGCCAGTTAGAACAACCAAAACCACCGCAAAACGCACCTTTGCCATATTTAAGTCTCCAAAGAAGACACCTGCATGCTCAGAATGACAATTCGACAACAAGAAAGAGAACCAAACCCGACACAGACGCTGCTCATAATATCCGTAACACCTCAAGTTTTTCCTGCCCATTCATAATCCCACAAGACTCCCATGTTCTATACAACAATCGTATACATTGACGTCAAGTGTCCCTATATAATCCCACATATTTCACCCCCCAGGTGTAATTGTTCCACAATCTCCAACCCTATATACCCATACATTCAACAGTCTCCATTTCAACGCCATGCCATAACCATCCTTTTCCCCAATACCTCATCCTCACCCACTACTCTCCCCTCCTCCCCCGTCTCGGGGCCTGAGGCGGAGCCGGAACCCCCCCACCCCCAACCCCTACCCCAACCCCAATCCTCTCCTCCCTCGACCTCCCCACTGGTCTAGTCTCGGGCGTAACCATCTCCATTCCATTCAAGCCATTCCC